TAAGTAGTGCGTCTAGCTTTGGTTTGTTGTGTATCTGTTTAAGGGCCGACCAGTGGCCTAGCGGTCTTCGTATCCTGAACACTGGGAGTTCGGCGCGGTTCGCACCTCGCTCGGACGGGCTGGCCACGTGGAGTTTTCCGGGTTTTCTCCACGTCCCTAACGCCTGAATAGGGGCCAGTTTCCCTTAAAAGACCTCCCGGAAGGCACCCTCCCGGGCAGATCACCGAAGTGTTGATCTGCCATAATCAATCAAACAGCATCTACAGTAGAGCATCGATTATCCGACCCCCGATTAATCGTCGCATCGGTTAACCGACTCGGCAAATCGATCGTTTTGAATAAAATTTAAAATATTTAGAAAAAAATCATTGCTCCCGTCTTTCTGATGACTATAGGTATATTTCCGACTGAGACGTCACACTTGTTTGCATCTTCGCAGCATCTTAGTTTCTTTTCTCTACCGTGCAGACAGTTAAGCGAAGTGTTGAAATTAAAAAATCGCCAAATATTTTCAGATGGTTGGCAATAATTTTGTGAAATATATTTTTCCACCTATAAAAGTGACAACGAATAAACAAATAAATAATTAATTAATCAAATAACTGATTAATATTTGTAATTGTTATCAAAATTGTAATTTGCTATGTGTTCGAATTATGTAAAAAAAGTGATTTTCTGTTACGTCCACGGTAGCATTTTTTTTTTTGTTTGGTGTTATTTTTTTGAGGGGCGCAGTTGTTGAAGATTGCCAACGAACTAAAGTAGACCAGCCGCCAGTAGCAACTGAAACGCAGCAAAACCAGAAATACAAGGTCTGTTCAAAAAGTATCGGACCTTTGGTCGGTAAAAATAAATTTATTGACTTTGAGGTACAAAACCCTAATTCCCTTCAAAGTAGTCTCCTTGGTAATGTATATACTTCTCCCAGCGTTCCTGCCATTGCTGGAAACACTGCTGGAACGCATCTTTTGGAATGGCCATCAACCGGTCCGTCGGATTTTGCACGATGTCGTCTCTCGACTAAATTCGGGTTCCTTTTAGCAGCATTTTCAGCTTGGGAAATAGCCAAAGGTCACACGGAGCCATGTGGAGAGAGTACGGAGTTTGACGAACCACAGGAGTGTAATGTTTGGAGACGAAAGCCCGAATCAGATGCGCAGAATGGGCGGATGCGTTATCACGATGGAGCTGCCAAGTTTTGATCGACAACAGATCCGGTCGTTTGCGTCGCACAGCATCGGAAAGACGACGAAGGACCTCCTGGTAGTACTCCTTTGCGATGGCTTGGCCTTGTGGTGCGTACTCACGACACACCACCCCACGAGAGTCGAAAAAACTGTCAACATGACCTTTGATATTGCTTGCCGCGATTTTTTTTGGCCTCGAGGATCGTCCCCGAAAGCCTGCTGAATCTTGGGTATCGCCAAGGTTTTGGGCAAAATTTGATGTAATATCGCTGCTCACGTTGTTCAGTCATTTTCCAGCTTAGTGGAATCCGACGAGAGCGCACTACATGACCTCACTCATAGGCCGATTGCCAACGACTGACACTTCCTGCAGGCGGGAAAAAATTCAGGGCTGTGCATGACTGTCCTCTCTACAACTCCACTGAAAGAGGCCTGTCGCGCATTGGTTTACGCGGAAAAAAAAGGTCCGATACTTTTTGAACAGACCTTGTATTCAAACAGCAATGGCGTGCGGTCATTGGAAGCGGCGGATGCGCCGCTTCCCTTGTTTTTTCTAAAAAATAAATACATATTGATTTTAATTATACGAAAATAATCGCGCAATATTTTATTATAACCGCATTACGTATCTTATTACAAATTTCTATACTACACGCGAAAAAAAAGATAAGATCGCTATTGTATATTCGAATATTAGTGGCAGAGTGGAGTCTCCGGAATTGTCTTTTTACTGGAATTTTAATTTTCTCCAATTGTGTCTATTGTGACGTCCTCTAAATTCAACGAAAGTTCATTGAACGTGAAAAACACGAAAAGACGAAGTTTTGATACACAAAAACAGAAGTCTTCGTAAAATTCTTTGCGACGAACGAAAGTTTAAAGATAAAAATTGCGTTAAAAGAAACACTTTACGAAACCGTAAATGGAATTATTAATAGGAAATTAGAAATTTGAATAAATGTTAAGTGAATTCACGCAAGAAGACATTCTCTACAATGCTTTGGTTTTGGTTCGGTTCTATAATTTGTAAATTTTCGTACGAAAATAGTTTGGTGAATGATATACCTTGTAAATGTAATTATAAAGAATTGTCTCTAATAAAGTCTTTGGTTTGATTTGGCATCAAATTATTTTCATGTCACATAAAATTATTACCTTTTAAATTGTTCCGAACTGTTTTCAACCGGTTTTTACGGTAATAAATCAAGATATAACTCTTCGAATTAACCATCGATTTTTACGTCACGCTGTAGGAGAAACCCCTGAATTGCTGGCACTACATCTGCTAATGTGTGCATATCGTCCACTTTTACATTCGAATCAATGGAAACGTTGTGCTTTGTTCGGTGCCGCCGTTAGAACCGGGCAACGGAGCCCGTGCCTAAAGGTGACCCGGTACCCACCAGTGGCCAAGCGGTCTTCGTTCCCTGACACTGGGAGTTCGGTCATGTTTTCGCGCCTCGCTTGGACAAGCTGGCCACGTTTGAGTTTTCTCCACGTCTGTAACGCCTAAATAGGGGCCAGTTTCCCTTAAGAAAACCTCCCGAAGGCATCCCTCCTAGGCAGATCGTCCAAGTGTTGCGTTGCCATAATTAAACAAACAAACACAAAGATAGCCCGCCCTCAGGAGTTTAGTTTTTGATTTTTTAAGCTTTTTGCGCTCCCAGGAAATGCATTAAACCACAGTAACTTCCCTGTATCACGTTTAAGCATTTATAGCGCAGAAAACGGTAAAAAAAATTCTTCTTGTATTTAGATGGAGAAAACGAGAACGTTTATTTGATTAGGAAGGAACGGATACGCGTACAAATAATAACACAGTTCCATACGAACTATTGTTTTTAGCACTAATATGTCCAAGAATAATCTATACTTTTTGAAGAGCAAAGTGCCATTTTTGGTTGCCTTCAAAACTAATGATGTAACGAATATTCGGTTACTATTCGGCCTATTTTTCGCTATTTGGCCGAATACCGAATACCTAAAAACAGGAGTAAGAAATAACAAAAACACAGTAAATTAATAATTTTGGTATTTAGATTTAATGTTATCGGGTTAGTGTTATTTGTTCACATTTATTTATAACTTATAACATGCACAAAATAAAAAAGAACATAATATTAGTCACTTGTATTCATAATTTATAATTACAAAGATCAGCACACGTACACACCTATTCGTTCGAGAATCGTCGCACATCCGTGGGTCTGACCCTGCCTATTCTTCTTTTTAAGCGCTCGTCTTTGCTCTTCCCTTTCTCTTTCCTCTATCGCTCTAATCCATGTATGCCTGTGCATACATCATAATACGCGCTCACGATACTTTTGATTCGTCACTTTTCCCTCGTAGATTTCCCATTTTACAATTGCATGACCCATAGCCTGGTGATAACGGAGAAAAGAGACAGATAGGACGTTGGTCTAAGTCACAGTTATGATTTCACAGATTCGAAACAGCTCGGTAGCCCGAACGAATCCAGGCTTTCGCTCGTGCACGCTAAGTGACTTTCATTACAAGCATTTAGCTTTTCGAAGTCTATGACAACAATTATTTGGCATTCACGGCCACGAATTTCGCGCTAATAAGCTGCCTCGACTTGTTCCATTATGTTATCAAAACAATTTCATATTTATTTTCACATTTTCACTTCGCGGTCCTTCTCTGTTCTTCTTCCGTTATTTGCACGTGTAGGTCATTCCATTGTTATCCAGATTTGATATCATCACTTATCACACTGCCATGACGCTCTTGTCTGAACTGTCAAGAATTAACGCGATTGGCGAAGCGTAGTGACAGTGGGCCAATAGAGAGCGGGGTCCTTGCCATAATGCGGTTTGCGCGCCAATTTTCGTACGTGCGTTAATCGAGCCGAATAGTTTGGCCGAATATTCGGCTATTCGGCCACGTTCCTGGCCGAATACCGAATATTCGGCCAGAGGCCGAATATACTATTCGTTGCAACACTATTCAAAACATTTCTATATTAAAGACAAGGACGACCTTATGAATCATTTATGCATTTAGATTTAGCTGTGATCAATGAATATAATCGGGATATAAAGGTGACGATTTATACAAAATTCAAATATTTCGTGTCTATGCTGCATTCATATAACTCATGAGACTCTACTACAATGTTCGAATACGCTGTGCGAACTGCAGGTTCCTTTCTGAATCTATTGTCCATACAACACAAATATGAGAAAAATTAGATTTCTACAACGTAGTTAAGGGTTTGGCACTGGCTCCGTTAAGGGGTCAGCCTACCTCTCTGGAAGTCCTGGGTTCGAATTCGGGAAGGTTGAAAAATCCCAGAAGTTTTTCGGGGTGTTCAATCGGATATGTCAATGCTCGCCCCTCACGCATACAGTATTATATTTTTGATCGAACTCACAATGTGTGTGATTTAGAAAACCCTCTTAATGCCCACAGAGCTGAAAGAGTCATAAATGAAAAAGACAAAAAGAGAGAGAGATGCAGTATATACATTAGAGTCCAGATTCGATTTCCATTCGGTATGAATGTTTTCCTTTATTTTTCTAGATATTACGAGTTTTTGTGGAAATTAAAATATTATTTATGCATCTGAAAAGAGTTTTATTTTTTAAAAATAAGAAGGAGACTTTCTTATGTCATATTTTCGTGTTATTTCTAGGAAGATTAAAAATACGTTCTAAATCATTATATCAGTAAATAATTATTTCTTGTAATATCATATTTTGAATTTAAATGCTGAAAATATGCAAAGTATTTTAAAATAATATACAATATAATTATATTTTAACATAAATCATACTCTCGCTTCTTTCATAATACATACTCTCGCTTCTTTCATTGCCACGCGATTTAGTACTCCTAGCTGGCAACACTGTCAGATTGGACCAATTGCTGTCTAGTTTTATTATTCTCTAAATCGGCCATTTTCCCGTGTAGTTGCCAGTGAGGTGTTAATTATCGAAAATGGTTGTTGTAAGTATTATTATTTTTGTAAATTTTTCTTTTTATAAAGTGACCAAATGCTATTTCTAACGTATATATTATAAATGAGTTCTTGAAGTAAGCGATTAATGATATTTTCTAACACCGCATTGGAATGTTACCACGTGGATAGGGTTAGCGGAGTGAGGAAAGTTTTCGAATAAAATAAGAAAAATCCCGTTATGTAAATTTGTGAATAAACGTAATTTTTTGGATGATTTTAATGGAAGAAATTAATAAATAACAATTATAAATTCCTTTCAGGTGATTTATATATGTACACATGGAACTATGAAGGACCTAAATGTACAAAAGCAGCTCTGAATGTGGCGGAGGGGGTAAGATGTGAACTCTGAATGAGGCTGAGGGGGTAAGATGTGAACTCTGAATGAGGGGTTCCCACCTCCTGTACAAGCAAAACAAAACCATAACTGTATATGAGACCCTTTAAGGTCCCAACGGTGTCATTCACATATGCAATTGTACCCTTATTCGAGCTGTATACCGTGGATTGTTTTACTTTTATTGACTTGGTCTACGGCATTGATAAGGGTTCGACTGTCTTCGTTCGGAGCTGCGTTTATACAAAATTATGCCGATGTTTAGGTTCTGTTTCTTTTTTATTCGTAATTAATTTTCACTCGTTCTGTATATTTTACTTTCACGAGAATCGAACCGTGCACATTAGTCATTATCTTGATATTAATGAAATGATTGCATTTGAATTGGTATTGTGTTTATTTATTTATTGATTATTTTTGTTTTAATGTGTAGGCTGATTAAGTTGCATTATTTATATCTTGATCAGTTGATATAAAGGAACGGAGCTTTGTACGATGTGCAGATTTTGTAAATCTTGTTTTCTATCTCAACGCACTTGCACGGAAAATGTGTCGTCGTCGTCCTTTCCGAATACTTGGGCCAAATGGCTTGTTGAATTTTACAAATGCTGCTTTCAGATACTCTGGAAATATTAAAATATATTTTCAAAAATATTTCGAATTGTTTTAAGATATATCAGGCACAAATTATAAATATTAGAATAAATAAAACTTTAAATAGCGTGAAATTCTCTTTCTGTCCATTCTTTTATCATAGTCGTCACCTTTTTCTGTATGTTGCAATTGTATGATTGAAAAAATTTTAAGGTTCTGTCTTATTTTGCTGTTTGGTATCTTATATTTGAGTTTATTGCTAGCTATTTAATGGAAGAATCTCATTTTTGCATGCTTCATTTTGCACGGTATCTGCTTTTGTAAAGTGGATAGTTTCAAGATTCTGAAATTTAAAAATTTGTAATAAGCTTTACATCAATAACAGTTAATGATGATGGAATAGTTGTTTTCTTGAAAGTACAGTGAAATCCCAATTTAATGGACAAAATTTCTGGTCTCTATGTCATGTGTGAAAATATAGACTTCATGAAGATTTTACTTGTTTTAAATTAATTACTTTCATTTTTATTTTGTTCTAATGTTTTTCCCCCATCTTATCTTTTTAGCTCATGTTTTTTTATTATTATTCTTGGGGATGGAAATCTTTAGTCTCAATCAGACTTTTCCTAATGTAACTAAAGTAAATTAATTAACACCCTGTTAATTTTAAAATGCTTTTTGTGTGCAATTAAATTTACAGGATTTTTTTTTCAAATTCAAGAATTGCTGCTCATAAAATGTATTCAGTGAGCACATAAGCAAGAATACGTGTGGAAAACTTTTTGTTGAAATTAAACTTCTCGTACCTACTTAATTTTGATTATACGAATTTTAAAGCATATCCAGAAAACTTGTTTTATTACGTAACGAACTTTCAGCTTTAGTTGACACCCTCGCCCAAATTAGTCCTCAGTTTTACCATAAAGTAAATTTGCATATTTTACAACGTGGAAGGTTTACAAGAAATGTAAATGTTTTGCTGCCTACTCTAAATTTTTCTTTGAGATAATTCAATATTTGTTGTTCAAATTAGAGATGACGGATGTTGAATGTTGTCTGTAATAAATATCTAATGATTGATATGTATCATTATTCTATGTAATAAATTCTGAATTGTCATTTTCTAGTATGCTTGTACATCATTCAAACATGAATATTACGGTTAACAAAAGACTGAAACACTGTCACTTGTATGTCGATTGATTGCAGGAGACATGTCACTGTTTTATTATCATCAGTATACAGAAAACTTCCATTTACTAACACTCTGATTTTAATGCCATTGTGGTTAATATATATTTAATCTTAAAACAGTTTATCATATGATAAATTAATAATAATGGCACACACAACCTACCCAATACATGTTAATAAATGAATGATAAAGCCAGTTTCTCAAAATTAATTAGCTGTATTGTAGCCTGATGAATCTGGTTCTGGTGTTTGTTTGTTAACAATAATTAATTAATTCCATTTGCATGGATAAGTGAGGATTACTTTGATCATAGAAAATAAATGAATAAGTAATTGTGGTGTTAAATCTGACATCAGCCGGTGAAATTTTCTCCCATTTGCATCACAAGTGCACATGCATTTGAACTGCCTTGTACACCATAAAAAAGTTTGGTTCCTCATAAATATGGCCTTCTGGTGTTTTATAACTACTGCCGTGGGCATTGCAAATATCCATGGATATGGTTACAGTACAAATTTATTACCTGGACCTAAGAAAGCCTTTTTTTTTTCAAGCCCATTGTAGGTTTGACCAGCTGGCGAGGGATGGAGCCCAACTAATAAGGGACAGACCATCCAAAAAATTCCTGGGGTTTCTTAACCTTCCAGATTCACTCCCGAGTGCCCCAGAGTGGTAGGTCTTAACTGCCTCTGACATTTGGATGGCAATATTGTTCTTGTAAAAATTGTAAATGTATATCATTTCTAGATAACAAAGATTAAAAATCTGTGATCTTTCAAACAAATAATTATACAGTTTGATAAACCTTTATCTTTTACAATTAATAAGACTGTTAATTAATTGCAGGATTGTTTATTAAAAATAAGTCAACAGGCTATTCATTACTGTAACTGTACTTTTAGGAACATCTTACCAAAAGGAAAGCCGTAAAACCCGGCCAGAAAGGCAAGGGTAAAAAGAAGAAAACCCAATTGAAATTCACCATAGATTGCAGTCATCCTGTCGAAGATGGTATTATGAATGCGGGTGACTTCGTAAGTTTTACGATTTCCTCTGTTGTAGTTTAGAAAGATTGTGTGCAATAGGTTAAGTACAGATCCGTTACTGTTTTTCTGGCATCCTCGGTTCCATAGTGTTGCCAACAGAAGTCACATAATAATAATGCAACAGCACATCCCAGACTTCTAATTATATGCTTTTGTGTTATAAACTTAAATTAAGTGTGTTAAATGTAAACTGTTATTTACACTCATACTACCGAAGTTCGTATTTTTTTTAGCATTCTTATAGTCTGGGGCTTCTAAAAGATTTTATTAAGATGAACTAAAAATCACACAGAATACAGGGATCACCGATAACTGCAATACAGACGATTTAAGTGAATTCGTGCTACATACATTACCACCAGTATCCACTCACTGTACAGATCTTGTGGGAATTTGATTTGTCTTGTAATTCTGCCTAGATTAAGAGGTGCTAGAAAAATGGTAGTAAACTTGTATTGAAATAGTTTTTAAAAATTAACGATAGTTTATTAATTTTTTTAAAATATGCATCTTCCACTTAATGTCGGTAATCAGATTTTGAAAATGAGAGGTTTGGTAGGAAAATGTTTATTGGGAGTTTATTTTATATGGAAAAAATATGATGCATTACAATATCATCCAAAACTTTCAAGTGATTTCCAAAAAAACAATTAAAATAAAGTAAATATACTATATACTATATATATGCAAAAACTATAGAGTTTGTGCACGAATCAACCTAAGAGTTGTCTCTTAGGTTGATTCGTGTTTGCATCTTTAAGGTTTGATAGAATTGTTTATAAATGTGCACACACACAGTTTCTTGGGCTCGACTTTGTCTTGGAAAGGTGTTGTGTGCATGTTGTTAAATATAACAGTATTATTTTCTTCTGTTAAATATTAAGTTCTTAATTACAAATTAACAAAAAAAGAGACATGTTGTCCTATCAGTCTCCCCTACATCACACTAAAATGAATCAACCTAACGGATAACTCTAGTTGCACTGATTGTACATACATGTAACAAACTATCATCTTGGGAAGTAAAATACTTGAAAGATTGCTTTCTGATCATGAAAAAATATGATGGTTAATAGTTTTGTATATAGTGACACAAACCATCTGCATGTTGTGTATGTTTACAACATGACAAATAACACAAAGCAATAGAGAAATTTATTGGGGTGAAAACAAAGAAAAATTTATAATAAAAAACAGGAAGTAAATTGAAATACATTGTTAAAAATATCTCTGACACTTGTATAAATTGTAGAATTGATTGTTTACTTTTACTGGTGTCAAGAAAGCGTGTTTGAGATTTCTTCTATAGTAGGTGTTGGTATGGTATGTGATGATGTCTCTTCAAGCTTGAGCGATATCAAAGCTGTACATTTCCTTTGCTGACACGCAGTCATTTACGCAAATATAAATTTTTACTCTTTAAATGCTGTTAGGTGTTTTCAAACTTAAATACTATATTATTTTACTGGGATTTGGAGTATAAGCAATTCTCTTACTACTGTCTTAATTCATAAACCAAAAATTTTGGTATAATATTCTGTTCCAAATTTCAATTGTCTGGACTCAGTAACTGAATTAACTATGCAAATATTTTTAACATTATTTATTCACACTATAGTATATATTCATTTCAAATCACTATATTTTAGTGATTCCTCTTCAGTATAACATTGTAAAAATTGATACAATACTTTTTTAGAAAATCTAGCAATGAGTTGCATAACTTTCCCAGCCATGAGATTTTATTTTATATGTTTAATGTTATATAAACATTTTAAACAATGCCTCATGGAACAGTACTTCAGGAGCAAGAAATATGTAAAATTTATTATTTGAGTGATTCAGGCAAGTCTCTGAGGTAAATCGCTGCAGCTGTAAATAGATCTATGAATGCTATTAGAAATGTTTTGAAAGGTAAAAATTATGGGCAAGAAAGGAAGTCAGGATGGCCTAAATGTTTAACGTTCAGGAATGAGAGATGAGTTTTGAAGCTTATAACTAATAAAAACATGTCAACAAGGCAAGCTGCTGCTGAATTACCAGTAGATGTATCTCATGTGATTGTTTGGAGAACTTTAAAAAACAGTGACAACGTAAAATATTTTAAAATGTAGTTGAAACCACCTTTAACTGCCAAAAATAAATCAATGTGTTTAAATTGGGCTAAAGACAAGATGGGATGAACTGAAAAATGGCAAGAAATAATGTTTAGTGATGAGAAGAAGTTTAATTTAGATGGCCCTGATAGGCTTTCATATTATTGGCATGATATAAAAAGAGAAAGCAGAGTTAAAATAAGCCAGCAACGAGGTGGTGAGTTTGTAATGATTTGCTGTGGTTTTGGATGGGGGAGTTAAAACTGATTTAGTATTTGTTGACAAAAATATGAACTCGGAAAAGTACCAAGAATTATTGTATAATAATATGATTACATTTGGTGCATTAATTGGAGGTCATAAATGGAAGTTTCAACAAGATAATGCTTTCATTCATGCCTCAATGTCAACAAAAATTGGTTTAAAAAAGAAAATATTGATGTAATCGACTGGCCTTCAAGTAGTCCAGATTTAAATCCCATTGAAAATTTATGGGGGATTTTACAGTCATTGTTTATACAAAAAGGGAAACAATATGAATCTGTAAATCAATTAAAAATTGCAATAATGGATGCGTGGGATGAAATTAAGGATGAACAATTAAAAAAATTAATAAACTCCATGCCTAACAGAATTTTTCAAGTAATTGTAGCCAAAGGGGGGTGAAACCACACACTAAAAGTGTTTAAAATATATTTAAAAATTAAGTGTACCTATACTTTTGTAACGCATCAAAAAATGAATATTTGTGAAAAATAAATTTATGATGCTTTACTAAATGTAAAAAAACCTGATAAAATAGTTAAAATAACAATAAAAAATAATTAGTAATATTTCCAGTAATAATTTCAAAATAAATTTAAAAAAAAAAACAAAATTTGTGGTGTTCCTATACTTTTGTAATATATATTAAATTAAAAATATGATTGAAAATTGCAGCCTAGCATTGCAATGATGTCACAATAAATAATTGCTCATTTGGATTCGGGAGGTCTCAAAACATGGAGATTTGCAAAAACAACTCGGAGGGTCAAACTTGATACGATTCCAATACTTTCCCTTGTTATGTATCATAACAGCTGGAAAAGTAAAACAGATACAAATACAATTAGGGTTACTACATGGTAGAACATGACGCTTACTAATATTTATGTAGCAGACATAGCTATCCAGTATTATCTGAATGTCTTGACAATTAAACACTGGTAAAAAACTTGGGTTAATTGTCAAGGCATTCGGATACTATTGGATAGCTATGTCCGCTACATAAATACTTGTAAGCATCGTGTTTTACTATGTAATAACTTGAATTGTACTTGTATCTGTTTGTTTTTTAAAAAGTATTGTATCAATTTTTTAGATGTTGTACTGAAGAGGAATCACTAAAATATGGTGATTTGAAATACATATATACTACAATGTGAATAAATAATGCTACAAATACTTGCATAGTTAATTTAGTTACTGTAAATCCTGACAGTTGAAATTTGGAACAGAATATTTATCAACATTTTTGGCTTACGAATGAAGAAAGAAGTAAAAGAATTAAATACTATAGGAGTCCTTCTGGATTTAACACAGTAAATTTACACCCCTTACTATTTGAATGTCTGGAAAGAATGTTGATTACTGTATTGTAGTGGGTGGAATTTTTATACAATTTATCCTTTGAGAAAGAAAAATTATGCATTTTTATCTTCCAAATATCATTGAATGGTCTTTGGAAGCTATTAGAAGATTGGATAGCTTACAGATATGTATCTGTAAGCTGTGTAATGCTCTTGTTGACTATCACTTTTAAACACAAAGTTTATTTGCTGTTCGATTTATTAATTTATAATTATTTTTGTTTAGGAAAAGTTTTTACAAGAAAGAATAAAAGTGAATGGCAAGACAAACAATTTAGGAAACGCCGTATCGATTGAAAGGAACAAATCTAAGGTTATAGTCACGGCTGATATTCCAGTCTCTAAAAGGTTTTTATCGTATAATAATAATAATAATACAATTTTAAATTCATTTTAAAATTATTACTAAGATTTTTCCTCTTCCTGTTTTTATTTAGATATTTGAAATATTTGACTAAAAAATATTTGAAGAAAAACAATTTGAGAGATTGGCTACGTGTGGTCGCAAGCACAAAAGATACTTACGAATTACGATACTTCCAGATCAATAACGAAGATGAAGAAGAGGAGGAAGATAATGACTAATTCGTATACAATGTATATATATTGCATTGTTGATAAAATAAAATTAAAATAATTGACATCTTGGTTTTTCTCCTGTTTCATTGGTCAGAATGGATTTTAAATACAGTGAAAACTGCTTAGGTGACCACCTGCATTCGACGGGAACCTGTCAAAACGGGCAAAAGTTTCTGGCACGGAATAGTTTACCCATAGAGTCCTTTGTATAAGTTATCTGTATTAAACGATCACCTGTGTAACGTGACCGCGGGCATCGATTTTTGGTCCGAAACAACATATAACACCCGTAATAAGCGACCACTGTCGCGAATGTATCTGGTCTAAACCAGTGTTTTTCAACCTGTGGGTCGCGACCCCCAGGGGGTCGCAGGCAAAAGAAAAAGATAAGTGTTTGTAGGTCCTACACTACAATAAAAACTAGAATTTCAGTGAGAAGGCTGTGCCTGTTTATTTTACAGTACAATTGGTTTTTTGATCGATATTTAAGGAAAGAAAATTACTGATATAGTTTTAATATGGCCCTGGGGGGTCGCCAGAATTTTTTAACTTGTAAAGGGGTCGCGTATTCAAGAAGGTTGAAGAACACTGGTCTAAACTATTGTAAGAAGCCATCTCAACAACGTTTCCCCCTCCTAATATAATAAATTAGTCTAAACTCTTGTTCGAACCCATCCCGGGCACTTCTCCCACCCTTAAAATTAGGTGCAGGTGTTAATAAATTAATCTAGCAACAAAAGAAATGTGCTCTCATTTGTATTAAAGTTATCACAAACAGCAATTAGCAGCGAAGTTTAACCATGGGAAAATGAAATTTATTTTACCCTAGACCCTACAGTATTTTCCTTGGGGGTGTAAAATATTGTACACGATACAATTAATCTGCTGATTTCATCATTTGATAAAATCCATTTTTATTTATTTTGAAGCTCATATACAGTACACGTGCGATAAATAGTTTCTGTATCAACTTACCTTATTTACCTTTAAAATAAAATACAATACCAATATAGCCCTATCGTTGAAAACATTCGCTTATTTTTGTTCACCTCCAGTTTTGCTTAGTAGAAATGGCTAAAAAGTGTGCAAAATACGTACAGAAATACACACGTTATTACAGGACCACCTGTCTAAAAGACCACTTTTTGAAGGAACCGTGGGTGGTCGACATAGACAGGTTTTACTGTACTTTAATTTCATGTTTTATGATTTTAATGCATTTATAGTGTGTGAAAGCAATCCATTACTTTATAATCAAAATCTGAATTGTTATATGAGTATACCTTACATAATTACTTTACTTTTGAACACCTTCAATTATATGAGGCATAATCAACTGAAGCCTGTCTGGGCCCAATTATTAATTAATAATATTACCAATACAATGAAATTACAAAGTAAATAGTAACAGCAGTGTTTAACCAACTTGGTTCTTTGGCCATCATTAACATTTTTAAAAGAGTATGATGTACTTTATGTAGTAAAGGACCTTAAATCTGGAACTGTTTGGAAAATTTATCAGAAATAATCAAAGTGCTGCTTAAATTCTAGACATTAATGTAATTGTATTACTTTATATCAAGATTTTGCACTGTTAGCAGTGAATTCTCTGCTAATGGTGCAAAATGTTGCTAATCAGTTGTACACCATTCCGCTCATCAAACAGCCTATGTATTATCTTATTTTTATGAAGAAATAGAAATATTGAACAGAGAAATATCTTCTTAGGTGGATAAACATCATGTGTTTAACTACCAAATAAATGTTAGTACTAAGTATTACATGCCCACCAGTGGTAGTGAATAAAAGCAGAACAGTGGTGGTTGTGGATTCACATCTAGCCAACAGGCTGGCCATGTGGAGTTTTCTTTGCATTGGTAACTCTTAAATATGGGCTAGTTTCCCATAAAAGACCTACCAAGAGGCATTTCCCCCTTGGCAGACTGCCCATGTGTCGTGTTGCTGTAATTGAATAAAGTATTACGCGATTTGCATGTAGTGACATTCTCCTTGTCAGTTCAGGATATCGTGAAAAACAAATTATATTTAAAAGCCTGTTTGCAATTGGTTCTGCAGATGCTGACTACAAATCATAAGGGAGAGTATGAATTTGCATCTGCAACATGTATGCCCCCTTTGCCAATACAAGGAATATGGTGATGACTTCCTACTCTGCAGTGACTGGTGACAATGTGCAATGACAAATTTTAAACCATTGACAAAGTTGCTAGTATACAATGGAAGCATTCCAACTCACTAATATGATAAATGTTTTTGGAGTGATTATCTTGTTACCGAATTGGTTTTGTAGAAGGAACATATTAGTTTAGCAAACACTTAGGCTGGAGTCACACAAAAAGAAAAAAGCTCAAGTAACCATAATGGCAATTTTCCGTTCAGTGTGAATTCCATCTTTCAGACGTAAAATTGTGAAAGGAAAAAAAAAATTTTTTTTTCAGTTTATTATTATTGGTATAGACTATTTCTAAAGTAATTAAACTAAGCAAATTCTACTGTAGTTTCTTTTATTCCATACAACATTTAAAAAAATACTTTTTATAAAATAGTGGACAATAAATTAGTTCACATTACTAGTACCACTATACAGTGGAACCTTGGTATACGACCTTAATCCGTTCCCGATGTTTGGACTTATACCAAACCAACCTTTCCCATAAGAAGTAATGTAAAAATGATTAATCTGTTCTCGTGTAAAAAAAATGGCTGGCTTTAAACACCTCGCTTTCCTGGCTAGTTCCTGCTTGATTTTTCGTGAGATCAGCGTGTATCTTTTTAGCTTTCTCGCAAATAATTGCTTCCGATACGCGGTTTCCAGCACTGTTTTTCAGTTATCCGAAGCAAAAGTGATTTCTCGACATGATCTAATGTCTTCGACCTCTGTTTAGAAATTGATTTAACCCCTTTCGCAACGTTAGCAGATTTAATAATGTCTTTATTTCTCGTGATTGTCCATATCGTCATTCTCGGAATACGGTAGGCAACAGTTAAAATCTCGAACACGCATGCCACCTTCGTATTTCTCAACAATCTTTTTTATCAGTTCCATTGTAATTCTAGTAATTTTTTTAGTTTTCTGTCAGTTTTCATTTGCCTTTTTGCAATTCGTAATTAATAAAAATAATAAAATTTTACTTACGAATTAAAATCAGAAAAAATTTAACCAAGTTATAAACCGTTGCACCGCGAACGCCTAGTCTGGTCTAGTGTACCGATAGTGCTACTTGTTCATTGATGGCGCGTATAATTGAATTATGTCGTATACCGAGCAAAATTTGTTTCGTCCAAACAGGACGTATTCTAAAGCAGATGTATACCGAGGTACCACTGTATCTACATTCATTCTGGCTCCTGCCAATTCAAGCTAAACATGGTTCTTGGTTGCCTTTAACTGTTTTTCTTTCTGAGCTTCCATGATTTTGAGGCAGCAACGCAACTATCAACATGTGTCAAAATGGCCATTTGGCAGTTCACGTGGTTTATTGTTTTCAGCACAGCAGCAACGTTGTAAACATGTCATCAATTCCAGGATCTGATCGGTCAACATCTACATCTTATGGCCGGAAGAAATTTTCCATGGAGCACATCTCAAATTGATTTTCCAGAAATTTTATGCGTGAGGGACGTAAAATTTTTCTGGATTTGGTTTTCAGTTTACATTTTCAGTGGTATTTTTCTTTAAGTCTGACTCCAGCCTTACACCTCTTTATTGACTTAGGATATTTATGTTTTTATATGTTGGAGTTATATAGACACTGTGTGATACCTTTGTGTGTTACATTATACAAATTTAGTAAACAAATTACTTGTTTGAATGAAACTAGAAGGTATTAATTACTTGTATGGCTGATTAGTTTCTTATTATTGTATGATCTTTCACTCAATGAATGGATTCACATATTATCAAGCATTGTCAGACACATATAACTCAAAAATATATTACTGTTGAATTAAAGTAGATGCTTTAATTCCATAGAACTTGACTAAGATACCAAGTTGTTGCCTCTCTCAAAAATAAAGACAAGTAGCCAGTGCAATAAATAATTGTTTGTGGTAATCAATAAAATCATTGTGTGGTGAAAATAAATTTTTTTCTCTAGGAATTGTTTCAGTAGAGTAAACAAGAACATATTAGAATTTTGGAATTGATTTGAAATTTTAACAAATAAGTTTTATTCATGTAAACACACTCAAAGCTGATTGCAAGCAAGAAGTGCCTAAGTATAGACAACTCTACATACTAAACAAGGTGAATTCAAATATGCAAAGTGTAAAAATTTTTTACATGTATAGAGGTGGATTTAACATTTTGCTCTCCCTAGAGTACAATTTTCTTGCTACCATTTTTGGTAAAAAATATGTGGTCCATTAATTACACACAGTTTTCAAGCCACTTTTGACCCCCTCCTTCCATCATACGCAATGACATACTTCTGACAAACCCCTTCCCTTAACATGTACATTAGTTCATGAACCTTGATATTGAAGAAATGATTTAAAACAGTTTATTCACATGACTAGTAAACAAGCTTAAAAGAACAAACTCTTTACCCCCTCCATGTAAACTGAATATATAATTAATGGGTAGCCCAAACCAACATTCTAAAATACAAAAAACAAATTTTAATTTGAAAAATTATAATGCATTTTGATACTTTTTATTTACAGTTATAATACATTTTAAAATTAAGTTTTAGAATCAATCTATTTTGATATAAAATAAATATTTGATAACTCATCATTGATCGTTTCTGAAAAAAAAAAAATCAACAATTTAGATCAGTTTTCTTATAAGTAATCACAATAAAAATACTTACTTATTATTCGATAAGGGCATCATCGCATTCTGTTGCGTGGCGCTATTTAAATTTTCGTCTATCCGAATAGATACGATGTGATGGCCCGGTACCATTGCTAGACCCAGAACTCTCGGTTCCTCGACTATCCCGTCGTCTAAATAAAGTTGTGCATTGTTAGTCTGTAGCTATATATTTTAAATTATTAATTTTTTATTCAACACATTACATATCACATAGTAAATTAAGAAAATATTTTGTGATAGACGCAGTATTTTTCTAGCGGTTCATTTCTTATCTATGGGCATTCCTATGTAAATAATCAGCAACTAATTGTTATATTGTTTGTAATATTTCGAGNGCTATATATTGTAAATTATTAATTATAATATTATGTAATGCAAATAAATAATATAATCATAAATAGTGTTATTCCCTAACCAATTTCCATAAAAAAGTTGATAAAAGATTATATTTATAAATGTTTTAAAGCAAAATTTAAAGTCTTATAAAGTCATTGATAGGCAAATTATATTCTGGATCTCTATCTGGAACATAATTTGGGAGTTGGAGATAAGTTACAAGACTAAGAACGTTAACTCAATGGGCAAACTTTGGACTTCTTCAATAGTATGTGCTTTATTATTTTATCTATTAATAATATATAAATTATTAATTGTAAATGAGTTAACATTAATAGAGAATGTTGATTACCTTCAGGTTTTAAATATTCCGAACAAGAACCCAAAATGACGTTTCTGTCACGATCGGTACATAAAAATATGCCGATTAAAATTCTTCCGTCCGTCATTTCTATTTTCATATTTTTATTGAGCCAACTTTCGAGATGTTGACGAAGAGAACTTTTTGTCTGTTCTAATGTCTAAAAAAAAAAAAAATCTTGTTTAGTTAATGAATAATGTAAAATTTGTATATTTATAAAGATATTATAATTATTACATAAAATTTTAATGTTTTAAAATAAAAGAAAATGGAGAAGTCATTTTTCAATAAACAACATTTTAAACACAAGCATAGGACTATAATGAAGATCTGCATAAAGAACCTCTTGTACCTATATCTGAACTAATGTGGACTGGAGTAATCTGGACAAGAGAGTGAGATAATTCTTAAATAAGACTAATATATAAGATTACTGTTGAATAAAACATGTTTATTTTTGACAATTACGATTAATTTTGAAAGTGTGTTAAAGTTCTCAAACATTTTCAGTTGTCTTAAATGACCTTCTTCAAGGTTAATAATGAAAAATCAACTTATTCCAGAAGACATTCCCGTTTTCGTTCTTTGTAAATTGAAATTTGTGTTAAAGTTGCTTTTTTTTTCTTCTCAATTCGCTGATGAGTTGCTACATCAAGCCAATGCCTTATCATGTCAGCAATGGTTGATGCATTGTGCTCTTCTACAAACTTCAAAGCAACCTTAAAATGTAAATAAAATGAGCAATTATTTATTGTGACATTGTCACAGTACCAGGGTGCAATTTTCAATCATATTTTTAAATGAATTTAATTTAAAATATGTGCTCTTCCCTTCAAATTAGTAGTGGCTTGCCCCTGTATATCATACTTTTCCTTTAACAATACAGTTGTGCCAGTTGTCTCTCTAACATCTTTCGGGGGAAAATTTTTGAATTGAAATAACATGACTTCTGGTTTACTTCAGAAGTTCTTATATAGTTAATCGAGGCTTCCTGCCCCTAAGGTTTCCATATCTGATCTTGTCTTTTGTCTATCTAAACTCCGTTCTGGAGATTAAGGAAAGACACATGGACAACAGGGGGCATTTATAGGTCTACAAATTGCAGCTCAAAAAAGAATGTACACAGTGTAATATGGAAAGGAAGATTCAGAATAGAGTACAATATTTTTTAAAATTTTTGGTTGCTTTTGATCACTCTAGATGTGGGAGAATCTACTATATATTTAAGAAGTATGCACCAGATTTTCCAAGTTGTTATACAATGAGGAAATTTACAATTACCCCAGCAACTCTATACCTTTAAGATTTTTTTCACAATGAAGACCTCAGTCTTATAGAAAATTTAATGCACAGAAACAAAAAAAATACAATATTTAAATAGATAATAATCAGGAATTGAATCAATTATAATCTAAAATTTGAAAACTCAGCTCCAACACCATATGTATCCAGAAGAGCTGCTAATGCTAACATTTTTGATCTAATTAATAGTCCAATGTCAGGTCCAAATAATACCATAACATAAATTTCTTATGTTCTATTTGAAGTGCCAAACTTCTTGAAGAAATATTTCGTATTCTAATTCTTAAGACCAGTAAGAGTTTATTTTCATAATCATTTTCATTGTTTTATGCAACATTGCAGAATAATTAAAGAAATTAGTTTAGACAAGAGATGATTTGAAACTAAAGTTGGATGGCAAAAATGTTTTGAAAGCAAATTTTATAGGACTAGACATATTTTTGAAAAAATAATTGAAAGATGTATAAGGACAAGTAATAAGGGACATTTTGTACTGAAGGATTTCATTATAGTACAACAGCCATATTTTTGATTGTAAACTCATATTTGAAAGAAATTTTCCATGATTTACACAACATTTTGAAGCAAAATGAAAGAAAAAAACCATCTATGAATCCAAAGGAATCTATCTGAATTTTGAAAATTTTGGCCAGGAGACAATTTGAAAATAAGTACTTCAAATTCTTTATATCAAAATGACTTAACGTAATTAATAAATCTGAAGATTACTGTAGAGTAGTGGTCTCCAACCTTTTTCTGAATAGTCGATGTGAGCAGTAATAGACAAGAATGAGGCCAGATACAAAAAGATACGGTCAAGGATTAAGAATTTTCTGATTTCTGAACAACAACGGGCATAAATTCAATGTGCATAAAAGATATCAGTGCAAAGAATCTATGTAGACTGTAGATTAGAAACCCCTGCTATAGAGAATACAATTTTTTAAAACAAAACTTCTGATTTTGAATCTTGTTTAAATCCTACTTTGATTTTTTGCTATTTTAGATTTTGTATAAAATCATCTCTCTTACACCTTATTTCGTGAGAAAAACTACTGTATATTCAACTTCTTTCTCCTTATGCCAGAAAGAACTGACTTTACTTTTGCATGTAATGGAATACAGTAATAAAAAGTATACAAACTAAACTACAAAATGACCATATATCACATGTTCCTGCTAACTTTTCATATTATTTATTAGTATTCATGTATAAAAACTTTTATTACACAATTGATAAGCAAAGTATTTGAACATCAACACCTCACTGAAACAACTCATCACTGCTCTGCTATTTAGCAGCTTGTAAACTACAGTTACACACTCCAAGTGTCCAATATTGTTAATGGGAAAAACCATTCTAATTTACTTTTCCTGTAAGAATACGAATTACTTTTTAAGTATTTAATCAGATAAAACAATAATAATTATATTTAATACAAATAAAAATACAGTATTTAAAATTTCAAGTGGTAAAAAATATCCAATGATGCAAATGGAAAACAATTAGCAGAAAATTACCATAATATTAATTTATCATATTATCAAACAATAAAAAAAAATGACAAATCACCTTTCATCATTTATTTTATATAAGAAATCTACTAAATTATAAAAATCGAAGAAGACTGGATTGATGGGATATGGAAATGCAACAATAGGTCAATCTGTCAAGATGAGTGTATCTTGGGAGGAATTTATATAGGAAACTGGTCCCATTTCAATGTTAAATACATGAAGAAAACCTGGAAACTCCTCTATGCCAGCACATTGGTGAGGTATGAACTTGCAATTGGATAACACCAGTGTTCACTGGTGTTATCCAATTGGCCACTGGTGGGCAATAGGTATCATATAAACTGATGTCTTTTTAAATTATAAATACCTTATGCCAACTGGTAACATTCAACATCAATTAACATTACAGTGGTACCTCAGGTTACGAACGCCCCAGGATACGAAATTTTCAGGATACGACATGAAATTCGAACATATTTTTGCTCCACGATACGAACAAAAACTCACCATACGACGTTACATTAGTTCGCATTTTTCATTTGTTTTTCTTACTACAGTTATTTTTTTTAATGTATTACTTGGCTTTAATTTGAGTATGTTTTTCGCGTTGGAACGAATTATTTGGTTTTACATGTAATCGTATGGGAAAAGATGATCCACCTTACGAAATTTTCATGATACGATCTAAGTTTCGGAACGGATTAATTTCGTATCCTGAGGTACCACTGTACATGGTAAGTGACATGAAATGATATCAATTTTAACCAAGCAATAATTAGCATCAACTGATATTTAATCACTTGAAATCATTTACACTACCAGGACCTCTGGTCCGATCTCCTCTTCCAGTATATTTAACATTTATGATATAACCATCATCACTTATTACAATGCTGAATGCGTCCTGCAATGGTTATATCATAATGTTATATATACTGGATTAGGAGATCGGACTGGAGGTCCAGATAACGTAATTGGCAACACATATGCACGGCAAATGGCAGTTGTGGGTTCAAGTCCCGCTCCAGGCAGATTCTTTTCTTCCAGTTTAATCTAAAATTATTTAATTAAATTATAATTATTAAATTTAATACAAAATGGCTCGTAACACCTTCCTCTAGGGTCAAATTTATCAGTAATTTATAATTATCATAGTGATTATTTAACTCAATGTCATACAGCAGTTGTTATAGCTTTACTTAAAACCATTTCATCAATTGAGAGAAATTGATGAAATGGTTTCAATTGATGAATTTGTCTGGTCATTGAAACTATTTCAGAAATATCAGCTGTATGTTTTCTGAAATATAAACCATCTTTTTGATATGTTTACATGATGGAAGGACCCTTACATATGTTAAATACCTGAAAATACATTATAAAAATCACACTGAATGAAAACTGAAAGTTAGGAAGGTAGAACTTACTTTTACGCTAGTAAAAAATATCATTTCATCATTTTCAAATATCAAGTAACATCATATCTGAAGTAATTTTTGGATAGTTTCAAATGATCACTTGGTACCAATTAGTAAGTGATAAGGTATGATATCATTTGATATCAACTAACAAAATGATTTTAATGACTAAATTACATGGCATGATATTACTTGATCACAAGTAATATCATTTCATTTCATTTAAAATCAATCATAAAACATTTCCAGTACAATATCATTAGACATCGTTACTGTAATAGTTTCTGACTGATTTCAAATCATACCAAGTGCATTAAACAGTTCTACTAAAGTCAAAAATCTTTAATTAACATTAAAATGTTTTTTATATATATTCAAAAGTTTCTGGACACAATATCAAAAGTTAAAAAATTAAAGGAAAAAATTCAAGCTCTGAATGAAATGGTTGGGACTAGGGTTTCTCAAACGGGATCCCGGTTGTTTTTTTAACCCGGGAAATATCCCGGAAAATTTTTCTTATCCCGGGAAATCCCGCAAATTTCTTAAAAATTCACTTTTTTTCTTATTTTGTGTTAAGGTTAAGGAATTTTGCAAATAGAAAGCATAATTAACTCATTCACTGTCAGAATACATTTGTATTTATTAATTTTAAACCTACCTATTATTTTTTTTAAATTTTTGCTCGTTATAGCATGTCACAAATGGTCAATAATCAATATATAGCTTATTTGTGGCAGGACTATAAAAATTCTTTACTTGTCGGAACCTGTAATATCTGGAATAATTGTGCTTACGCTGTCTTGAGTTTTAACCATGCCCAGTAGCTTCAATAAATGCCTGACGCCAGATTGTGCAAATTGGGCAAGGATACAAACGAGTACAAAGTCTGCAAGTATGAAGTTTTTCTTCATAAACCTGATTATTAAAGCCAAATGAATTGCCGAATTATCGAGCTCTAAGCTTGATGCCGCTATTAAAGCAGCCAAGGTAGACAAATCAAGAATACTAGAGAGCGAAAGAAGTACTACAATCTCGAAAACGAACTCGAAATCTTCCAGGCTACAGGTGAAAAAACACATAATATCTGTCTTCTCTTAAATGCATTAAACACTATTCCAATCACATCAATTGAATCGGAAAGGGCATTCTCGGTGGCAAGACTTTTCATTACTAAAATAAGAATTAGAGTGAGTTATCGGAGTATTGACCATCTTTGCTTTTTAAAATCTTATAAAAGTTTGCAATATTTTGTATTATATTTTATTTAAAAAACGAAAATTACCTTCTAAATTAGAAGTTCATTTTTTTAATTTTTAACTCAATTCAAAACATTTTTTTTTTTGTTGTTGTTGTATGCAGTTTCCAGCAAACTTTAATTAATTTTTTTCTATTTGTGAAAATTTCTACGTTATTTAAAGGTAATTTTTATTATAGGCCTATAGACCTTACACAGCATTATTAATATGATTTTGGAGGTTACAGAACTTTAAAATTACTTTAAAAAATGGAAAATAATTATATCATTTGATTTCAAGATATTTTGTATACCTTAAAAATAATTAATTCTATCCCGGGATTTCCCGGGATCCCGGGAAACAGTTCACTTTTATCCTGGGATCCCGGGACAAGCAAAAGACCGGGAAATGAGAAACCCTAGTTGGGACCTTATCAGAGTTGTAAACCCCTAGGAGTAAGCCCATAGGAGTAAAAAAAGTCAAATAAACTGATGGTCTAGATACATGCAATGCTTTGTGAGATATAGCCTATCCAAAATTTTGAAGACCCACAAAAACATAGTAAAATTTAAAAGTGAAAAGTCCAGAATTATTTCTCAAAACACTCCTAAAAATTAACCATTTCCACTTTAATAAAAATGGCTAAAAGCTCATAATAAACAATAAACTCCATCACATCAATTACTTCCAGGGTGTGATCAGTCACACTGCACACTCCACTACACCTATCACAAGTTTAACAAATAGTTGATTTCAAGTGCCATTGTCATACATAGACCATCGATGGTCTATGTATGACAATGGCACCTGAAACCAACTAATATATACATATACCTTTGGCTATTTTACTCCTATGAGCAGTGATCTATAGCTCCAATAAGATCCCAAACATCTCATTTAGTGTAAGATGTCAACTGTGAATGAGGGATTTGCCACCCCCAGAGTTATAGACCTACCGTACAAGCAATAAACTCAATAGAAATGTACCCGTATATGTGACCCTTAATGAGATATTCACCTCCAAAGATCAGTTTTTACTGTCAACCAGTATACTGTTTATTCTTCATGCTCTGAGTCAATCAAGGCACGCCTCAACTGATGCTCCACACGTAGTCATGTGTTTCGGTGTTCGCTTTCATTCGCACCCCAGCAGCCACGTGGGGGTGCCCATGCCCCATTAAAATTACATAATGTCACTCACTCGACAAATGGTCATGCTTGCTAAATAGTTAAACAGGGCGGTCTTGGTGGAGTGATACAACTCCCAATCGTGTACAACCCAGAAGTAGGTCAATTTCAGGGGTCATATCTGGCAAAGGGTCACGTGTAGAGGTATCGTTTCTTTGACTTTTTTGCTCCTATGGTTATGATCTACAGCTCTGATAAGGTTCCAACTGTCTCATTCAGAGCTGCATTTGTGCCAAGAGTTGTCACGTCACATCATGTTTAGATAAATGACATCATTTGAAATCACGTGTCAATGAAACATAATTTCAAATGATAATTTTACTGGGGATAAATAATGGAAACACAGTCTCAAAAATAAAATTCAGCGTAATAAGAAATGATATTATTAATTCAATAGTTTAATTTAATTAAATGTAAATATGATTAAGTTATTTACCATTTTTATTGCTGAATATCTACAAAATTTGTCATAAGAGAGTTGATTATATAATCAACAGAGGAAATAATTCTACTTCAAGTAATTTAGTTCATTAAATATACGTGTATATGTTAATTACTAAAATTCCTTCATTTTTTTCTTTAATATTAAGACTATGTTTACAAAAAATTAAACTACAGCTCTAATATCACCACGTGTAAAAAACATGTTGCCAGCTAAATAATTTTTGGAAACGAATGTCATAATTTTACAAATTTTTATTATTAATTATTAATTACCTTTNTTTTTATAAAATATAAATAAAAATTATTGAAAAATTTAATGCAAAAATTATTTTTATTTATTTATTTAAGGTAGCAGCCTACAGCTTTGGACGACCCCGGATCGAATCTTGACGAAACAAAAAATTTTCAGAAATTTTTCGGGGGGTGGTCCGACCGGATATGACGATCTAGCCGGATCCATAATGGGCTTGCTAAAAAGAAAACCCCTTAATGCTCACAGGGCAAAAACAATTTTTAAAAGAAAGATTCCAATCTGAGAAAACTGCAGTGGCGATTACGCGATAGGCGCACTACGCGCCTAGGGTCTCGTCGTCTCGAAGGAGCCTCAAAAATTACATAGCAAAAAGATAATAGAGAGGTTGCGGCCAAAGCTTTTATCTCTTAAACGTGAACGTCGAACGTTGAGCGCCGCCATCTTGTAAGCCTAGAAGTTTGACAATGGCGTTCTAAACGCCATTGTCAAACTTCTAGGCTTACAAGATGGCGGCGCTCAACGTTCACGTTTTATAGATAAAAACTTTGGCCGCAACCTCTCTATTGTATCTCTAGAATTTATTATTAAATTATAACTCGATCATCAATTTGCAGATTTAAATAACCGAACGGTAACGTTTTATGTTCTAATACTAACAACAAATTAAATAAAGAAAAACTTTATTATTTAAGGATTTTATTGTCTTTTTAGTATTTAAAAAAAAGTTTTTACATAAAGAGCGTTATAACAAAATCAGCTCTTAAAGCCTCAAAGAATCATAATCCACTACTATGCGAAGAGCAAGAAGTCGCCGATGTTCCACAGCACGCGCATTTGTTCCAATTTAATTTTGAAACTCAACGTTTGAAGTTGCTCCGGAGAAAGTCGTTCTACGTTTGGAACCCCGTTCTCAATTAACCTGAAGCAGACCTCGAGTGAGGCCGAAAACGTTTGTTCTCGAAATTTAAGCATTACCGGAGATAAAAGTTCGTTGAGTGGGAGTATTTTTTTTTAAATTTTACTCTTTATTTCTATTTTATTTTTTACTCTAAGGGGGCCTCTTTTAGCAAAATTATTAGGGGTTCGGCTAGACCCACAATGATGTAGCCGGGTGATATGAGACGTGGCCCGATTTCGACTCGTCAGAATTCGATCCCGGATTCCCCCGAGCGGTAGGCTGCTATTTTGAACGCTTGGTCATATGGTCATCAAAGCAGCTGACTTTAAAGTATAATTTCAAAATAAATCGATATAGATTCCAACTTTTGGTTTTCCAAAGTAAGAATAATGACGATAATGCGTGGTTGAGGATCATAAATGAAGGCCAACCTCCCGTTAAATGCACCTTAGGCCAAAAGTTTTCAAAAAATGTTTCCTCCCAGAAAACCGTGAATAATAGGTACTGTACGTATTTGTTTCTATTCGTTTTTCTGTTAGGAGGGACATTTCATCACTAAATAAGTACGTTAGGACATTGAAACTGAACTAAAAACTGTCCTTGCCAAATAAGGACGCGTCGTCCCTTACCGTCCGGTTGTTCTATAATGGGCCTGGCAGAACCTTTAATGGGCATGATTAGAAAAGGCCTTTTTCATGCTCACAGAACGGTTAGAGGCCGAATTCAAAAAATCTTCAAAATTAAGGTGAAAAAAGGTCATTTTGATGTCCGCAGGGCGGAAATATACAAGTTTTAAAAAAGCGCGCGCATTCCAAAAGAATTCCAGAAAAAAATTATATAATTATACATTTTAAATCAATAATACTTTTTGTAAACTGATTTTATTATAATTTTACTTTTATATTCTTTATATTATTTAATAGTTTTATTTAGTAATTGAGTATTAAAGTACAATTTCAAAATAAATTGATATCATTCAATTATTAGAAAATATCTCCGTATATAAATAAAAATAATTTTCAGAAACAAAAACGAATAAATAAACAAAATAATCGCAACGAAATTTCATAACGCGACAATCCATGAAAATCATTTTTAATAACGGCAACAATGACATCACGATTTCATTGCGACATAACCGTAGGAGGCTTACCGAACTATAATGTTCTTCCGATAGCCAGTGTTAGATTTTTCTTTAATCCTTTAACTTACGTTCAAAATATCATATTGGAATGAAAGAAATTTAAAGTTCTATGCTAAATATTATATATTTTAATTATAATTTTTACAGGGAATGTAACAATGTTGGCATTGCTTCCGAACTATTTCTTGCGAAATGGCGCACGTATACGGTGAGAAGTCCGTTCTTTGTTTAAAGACGTCAACGCTGTCTTCCGCCCGTATTGCGGAGTTGGTAAGTATGGAAGAGTGGTGTGTTGTTCGTCGGTCGCCTTTCTCATCGAAAAAATTTCAATAACGGACGACTTTAATGGACTTTATTTGAAGGAAGACTGAATTTGTTTAACTCCTGCTTAATTTTTGTATTGTAAATATGTATATTTCTTCCTATTTATAGCACCTTATAACCATCTTGTATAACTGCGTAGTTTGTTGTCCGCCATTTTGAAATTCCGATGGTGAATTCCACTAAAGGTTTTTGAACTATTTTTAGGTTCCGCTGTCTCAATACCAAGTACAAATAACGGACATTGGAATGTTTCGAGTGATTTTCAAGCAGAATTAAATTAGAATTTTTCTAATTTCGTTACTTTATATATAGGTCAAGGTTTGGAAGTGTTACTTTTTATCAATATAAATCGTTCAAGTTTTATGAATTTAGGCAGACGACCGTACGTTCTTATAACCTGTAAAGTGTTTTGTTTTCAGTAACCGAGCTGAAATTTGGTATTTGAGAAAAAGTAAAGGAACGGTAAGAGTTTGAAGTTACGCGATTTTTTTCTGACTTTTAATCCTTTTCCAATCTCAGACGTAAATTTTCTAGAAAGGTGCTGTAAAAGGATAAATGTAAAAAAAAAAAGTTCTAAATAAAAAAAATTTTTTAAATTTTATTTAATTCAAAATGTTTATTAAAATGAAAACTTCTCTTTAAAGATAAGACAAAAGAACCTTGGTCTACAATTCCGTCGGGTTTTAAGAACAAGCCCTGCAATCTGCCAAGTTTAAACCATCCAATGCTGGAGGTTAACGTAAGACTCAAATTTTAATGGCGTCATAATTTTTGTTTTATACAAAATTCCTGAATTTAATGTTTCACAATTTCATGTTTATGACTTAAAGTAAAAAAAAGGTGTATATATTCAAGTCAATATAGTGTTTCTACTTTATGGAATCATAATTCAAACTTTAAATAATAATAATAATGTTCTAAATATTCAAAGTTGACTTGTTTTTAATTTACTAATATCAGTTTTAATGTTTTTATTGGTATTAAATCAAGTATATTTTGACGTATGATAACCTTTGCTTACAGTTTGTAAGTTCAAATAATTCTCTAGTGTTTTTTTTTTAAGATATTGGGTAGATAGTGACTTAAATGTAGATAGAATTTAACTCCAACTTAATATTGATTTAATATCTTTAAAATTACTCTAGAAATATCAAATAATTGAATGGTAGTTAAAATGCATTCTGATTTTTAAAATGAATAGAAGTATTAAATACTTCGAAGGTAGAAAGTTTTTATTGCAAAGTAATAGTCTGCTTCTAATGTTTTAAGAGTGATTATTCTTGCAAAATTCAATAATTTGAACTTTTGTTGGATGCCTGTTTTTCATTAAGTATGAAAATCATAGTGAAGGAGGATGCTGTAAGAATTGAATTATGAAATTTTGTATTTTCAAAAGCATTTTTTTGCTAAAAATACATTTGAATTGTTTGTTACATATACCAGAATATTTATAAATTAAATTCTGCAGCATATCTGTGGAAGGAATTGTGATAAAGAAATTCACTTTTACTAACAGAATGCATGAAACTTTAAAATGTGGCTATTCATTACTGTTTTTTAAGTAATTCTAACAAACAGTAATAATTTAACAAACAGAAAACCATATTTTGAAAACTTTAAAACATTACTTCTATTAACATCTATTTTAGAGAAATTATTAAATATTCATATGAAGTCTTGTGCAAATTAGAAAATCTTTGTTGAAATATTACTGTTGTGATCTGTCATTTCTAATGGTTAACAAATTTGCTCAAGCATGAATAGTATTGCCTGACTGAAATAATTCGTACTACATTCAGCCTAGTGAGCTTGAATAAGTATATATAGTTTTTTTATATGCCTCACTATAGTATGATGAAATATTTGAGTCACCAAACTTTGCTTGCTATGTAAAATAATATAGTTATGTTATGACTAAGTGCAAAATTTTCCATTAATGCATTTCCCATTTGGGTTACTTGTCTTCAGTCATGCATAGATTTAGTATTCACTATTTTCCAGTTTTGTATCTGTTGGATTACAGTTATACAGTGGTGCTTTAAAGCCAGAATGTAATGAAATCCTGGCACTTTATTGAAGAGATGGAACATGTTTTGAAACTGTACAAAATACATATCTGTATTTATAGGTGACAGTAAAATTGCAATATCTATTTAAAAAGCCAAAGGCTGTTTCCAAGCATTTGACGAGAGTATATGTTCAAGTCTGACGAGAAGTGGCAGTTTTGATTTTCAAGCAACTGCACTGGCCCAAAGCATGCAACCATTAAAATCTTCCATTATCTACATGTGAAAATGACAAGTGTTGATCTGTAAGTGATGACTTAATGCCATGATTATTTCTATTCATAGTTGTATTTAAATAGTTTTTCATTTTTTGACTTTCCTCTATTGTTAAGTGACTGCTCTGAGTCACTAAGAGGGTCTTCAATTTATATTTACCGTTATGGTGACTCAGTTGAATGATGGGACCTGACATTTGGGCAAATCTATGAAAAGTTCTTATGGTTCTTAACCAGAACTTGATTCAAGCCTTAAGAGTAACAGACTATTGCCATTAGTCTTGCATATCTGGCAGTCTAAATGGCAGTTTTGTGAAGTTTTTAAAACAAGATACCCATTCAGAAATGATTTTGCATTGCTTAATAAGAGCATAGTTTTGGCAATCTTAATTTGACAGTACTCTAGAGATCTTGCATTCTTCCTGAACAGGTCTTAGTAATACTAAGAAATTAATGCCAAAAATATGGAATTGAACTAGATACAGGCTTGACTTTGCTCACTGTCCTGTTCTTAAATATAGTACAAAAGCAATCATTGATCCTGTTTGGGAATTATACAATTTGAGTTCTTAATATTGATTTAATAATTTCAATATTTATTTTACTTTATTGCTTTTTAATCATTTATTTATATAAAAAAGATTTTAAAATTTTATAGTATGTGATATTGTTTTAACAATAGATCACTTTGTGAGATCTGGGAATATTTTTTATCTTTAAGGAATTTGAAATTGCAGTTAACATACCTAGCTTCATGAAAAAATATTAAAATTATATAAGCTGGTTTTTTCCAGCAAAAAGAAATTAAATTTTTTGTATATTATCATTATCATTCACACTGCATTAAGATATCCATTGTTTTAAATAAAGTGAACATTGTTGAAACTTCCAAAATGAAGCAGTTAGATATAATTTGACATTTGATAAAAAAAATAGTGTTTAAATTGATTAAAAGGTATTGTATAGTACAATTGAAACTTCTGCCAACTTTGCTTTAACTCACGACTTCATAAAGTATTAACTGTCAAGGTAAAGTTAGTTAAGAAACTTTTTAAAATATACTAATCTATTTTTATGAGATTGAAATATTTCAGTATTTCATATTAATTTTTGAGTAGGAGTTTTTATAAGCTGAAGTCGTTAAATTTTTGATTAAAAAAATAGAATAAGTGGCAAAGGTATGGTTTGTGAATGGTATACGACTCCTGAATTTGAAAGGTTCAACTTCAACATACATCACTCAGATATTGAGTGAAAAGTTTAAATAAATCATTAAAGCCTTTCAAAAGCATTGTGTGATCTATTCGTGCAAGTAAATTAAATCTTATTGTCATCAATCAAAATGATATATTGACATTAGTGTTAAGTAATGGTTCTTTATAGTCTTGTATCCACAAATCTTGTATGTTGATTCATAAGTGCAGCTCTTGGCCATGTTTACTGGCCACCCTCATATCACAAATTTCAAATAACTTGATTTAATACCAATGAATTAGTGAAGTCTTAATTTTAATACAAGTATTAAATACATCAGAATTTATGAATGAAGCTAATTATTAAAGATGGAAATTTTTTTTAAGCAATAAAGAACTTTGGAAATATTTAGATCAGAAACAACCAATTTTACCAACTATTTCTTTAATTAGAATATCAAATGAAATCATGGTAGTCAAGTTATAGAAATGAAAAGGTATAACTTGACTACCTGGTTGATGGAAAAACCTCATTTTTCCTACATTGAAGAATAATAATCTTTTCCAATCACCTAATTATGATAAACATCCAAAGTAGTTAATTTATTGACATCAAAATTATTAGTGGAATATTGATAAAGCAAGTTTTAAATTGGAAACAGCCAATGAATTCAATTCATAAATCATCAATCACTTTTGATACTAATTATTTAAATGTGTAATATAATGCAATGTTTTATGTATAATTTTTTAATATTGATACTTTATCTCCAAATGTTTATAACAAAGTGGCAAATACACAAAGTAAAGTATTTTATTTCTTATTAGTCTGACAGCAGTACATGCAATCACTATGGTCTATATGATTTGCAAATTGATCATCTATTATGATTTGAGTTTCTTTTAGTAATAGTGAAGTACGTACAGTAGAACCTCTGGTTATCTGAAGTAATATGACTTAATGATATCTTGGATAGCTGAAAACTGATAAAATGGACTGCCATGGTCATTTTGGATTAAAAATTACAAATACAGGAGATTTATACGGTATCACTTTTAAGCCTCTGTATCTTATTGAATTTAATTATATATAATAGCAACATTTTTTACATTACAGATTTATACAATAGTTTTAAGAGTAAAAATTGTATTATCATACATTTAATATGAATGATTTGTCTCACATTGAAGTTAAACAGAAATCATTTTGTAATACATGTAATTGTTTTGAACTTTAAAAAAGTCCTTTAGCATTTTTAATTTATAGTGGTTCTTCCCTGCTGCAATGTTCTGTGGGCACAGTGTCGTCACAGATAGTCTGTCCTGGACATGTCGGATTCCATTCCTCGGCACTCAGCTGTCCTCCTTGTGGGTTTGGCTGAATTCTCAATGGGAATGGAAAAAGGCCATAGTATTCACAGGTCAGAGTTTGAGTCACCTGCATCAGTCACTCGGTATTATTCAGATTGTAAATATTTAAGTATTTACACTATCAATGCATTCATAGCAAAGCTTTGATGAATATAAGAAAAGTAGTATATTTTCTTTCAGATTCATTTTTGGATAATGCAGAATGTAAGTTAATCAAGTCTTGCATATTAGGGGGTTCTACTTTGTATATGGTTTGTATGTCATTTAAAAAAACATTTTATTATAAAGTGAACTTTTGATTTCAATATGTTTAATACCTATTACAAAAAAAGTTTATCCATTAAATATCAGAATGATAAATGAAAAATTGAATTTGAACATCTCTAATTAGATAAATGACAAACTAGTTTTTTTAGTGTAATAATTTCAGAGTATAAATTATATATGGAAGATTTTCATTTTTACTAATAAATTTCTAATTTAAAATTTTCATGTGTTAGTATATGTGATAGCTTTTTCCAAATTAAATTTTCTCCATTCTACAGTGTCATGAAACAGACTTTCCTGCTGTCACTTCAAAGTATTTGTCCTATGGAGTCTAAAGGGAAATCAGAAAAGCTACAAATGACACAATATTTTAATACCTGGCTGTCTAGTGTAATTCCTAAAATGAAAGAAGATAAATTCCTCTGAAATTTATTTACTAAATTTATATATTATCTTCCTGTTACAATAGATACATTTTTCATCTAGCAACTCAAGCTGGTGAGTTTAATTCATTTTTAATATAAGGATATTTATCTTTCAGTATATTAAACAGGTAATACATACAAATTATTAGTACTCGGTGTAAATAAAGAATATATCTCTTTACATACAATACACGTAATTAGCTACATGTAAAATATCTATCTGCAGCATCTGACGTAAATTTATTAGATGCTCATAAAAATTATAAAAACAATTGCTAATGAATTTCTTAGCATAAATTTTTAAAACAGTTTTTATGAAATTATAATTAATATGCATTTATTGGTAGAACGGCCATTTCCGAAAAATGTTTTAATTAATTAAAATTTGTAATTCCAACAAGTTTAATGAAAATGTGTCAAAATACAAAATTGATTTTAAAAGAATATTTGAACTGTTTTTGATCCTGATTCATTTTTAATGGATCTGTAATTTTGATTTCAATTTATGCTGCTGTTTCTACTACATACTAATTGAATACTAAATAATGAATTTAAATAGTTTCGAAACAGCTATTATTAAATTGAAGGTTATATACTAATGAATGCAACAGATTTAACTTTAGATTGTTTTATATTTCATTACCTTTTATTATTAAAATAATTTTTATTATGAATTTTGGAGGAATTAACTGCAAGTTTACTTTTAAATTCCTAACACTTCATTTTTAAAAGTAAAATAGAAATATATTTTTAAAAAATATCCGAAGCTGTCAAAATCATTTTTATAATTATACATAACAATTTATCATAAAATGAAAAATAATAAATTTAACATCAATAATAAGTTAATACATATTGTACCTAAATACATACTATATATCTTAATGTTAAGAGTTTTATTTTCAACATTTGTTATAATTTTAATGGATTTACGTGTTTGTGTTGGTCATTGCTACATATGATAGGAATTTCTCTTTGCAGAAATAAAATATATATTTCTCAACGAAACCTTCCGGATTATTTTACCTAAACATTATAGAGTGCTATGACAAAAAGATTGGACCAAACTTCTGTTATTCTCCACTCTACTAATGTTTTTCACCTTATTTAAATAGGTGTAAACTAGTCTTAAGCTATTAAACACACAAAATGTGGCAGTTTGCTGATAGCAATAACTTCTGACAAAAATTAAAGGTGGTATCAGAATTCCGTCGTAATCATGTTGCACCATGACAGTTGTACAACATTTAAAAAGATATCTTCAAATGTCAGACCAGTGTGAAAAAAGTAGAACATGGAAAACTCTTGTAAATTACTCTAAATATGGCAAAAAAAAGAATATTCTAAAGCATATTGTTAAACAAGACTTGAATCCAATTGTTAATTTGTGAGACTAACCAAATGAGATACAATGTATTCATCAGGACTCAAGGAAGTTTCTGATTATGAAACTTATGTTTTGTAGGACTAGTTTAGGTCCACTTGTCCCTGTTGAGCAAACTGCAATGTCACAGGACTAAATTAAAGCACTGGATGAACATACATCCTACACTCCATTTTCATCCCAATAGTTCTGCAATGTTTTAGGATGTAATACCTGTATCATTGTAACAAAACTGAATGAAGAATGCAAAACTAATTTCATAAATATAGACTGTCCTTTACAAAGTTTAGCAATCACTCCAATTGTGAACATCTTTTGGGTATGTGCTAGAAAGCATAATTAAACATGATGTACCAATTATGTTAGCTGTTTTGGAAAAATTGCAACAAAATTGGTAGGAATCAAAGTATTAGAAGAATCTTGTCAAATTATGCATCAGACAAGGACATTTATCAATGCCAAAGGAAGTCCAATGAGTATTAGTATAGTTGATTTTTGTTCTTGAAATAATGATGTAATTTTACAAACAGAAATACATCTTGTCAGAACTTTTTTTTATTATTAACAAGAGAACAAATAATATTAGTTGTCTTTTCTATGAAGAATAAATGTGGCATACCACAAATATTTCTGGATACAATAGAAAATATTAAACAATAAATTATTTTTATTTTTTCATGATTCTAAAACAAATTGCAGATCATGCAACGACTATTATTCTTGACATTCAATTTCTAAACAAATACAGTAAACATTAAAATAGGAATATTCTAAATTTCTGATAGCATTAAAAACAAGGTAAGCAGCTTTTCAAATATTAACAAACAAGATTATACATTATTGAACTTTCAGAATAATAAAATTACAAGAAGAAAAACACACTAACTTTGGTGTAAATGAATGATAATCTATAAGACAAATACAATATTGGTATACATTACAATAAATTTAGTCGTGCACATAAAATGATGTCTTTATGTAACATTTATATTTAAATTTTTAAGTAAATTATTTAAAATATTGTACATATATCATTAAAAAAAATTACAGAAATAAATTCAATAGCTAAAATACCAATTTTACTGATTTAATTTAAAGTTATTATTTACAGAATATTAATCATGAAAAAAAATTGCAACAATAAAAACTTACTTCAGCCAGACCAAGAACAGAGAGAGTAAGACTTTTCCTAAAAATAATTCTCATTATTTTGATACATTTGAAAAGTCTGACTTTTATTTACCTTGAAAAAATGGTGTTCAATATAGTGAAATTTAAACATTAAACCAATTTCTTAATTACGTTCATTTGAAAAGTTTGTGTTTGCACATACAAGGTATATGGAGATAGCTATTTGACAGTTAGGCTAGAAATAAAGGTTTATTTCGTGGTCATATATATACCGTTTAGATTATATTTTTGTCCTTACCAACTGCTTAAATGAACTTAATGGCAGGGAAATAGAAATATGAAAAATTTGCTTGAGTTGAATGATCGTGTAAACCGGAATGTTATGGGCAGTAAGAATAAGTACAAAGAAGCCGACAATATGAAGAACTATTAAATATACGCACCACAATGCATTCTATTTTGAAATTTTGCAAAAGTTTCATTAAATTTTTCAAAGATTGTGAGACTGACCCTTGATTTTAATTATACATTTTTCGAAAAGATTTCCATACAAATATTCTATAATGTTTATTTTTTCTAAGAATCGCTACTTGCAAATCCTAACTATGTGAATGTAACATTTATAAGTGCACTAGACATTTTTTTTACCAGTTTCAATATAGGTTTTGCAAGAAGTTCACCAAGACAACAAGAAGCAATCTTGCTTACTTCCATTCAGAAAATATTTCTCTGGGTATTTCAGGGAATTTACATTTCTTGTGACGTCATTTCGCAGAAGTGGTTGCAGATACAACCTTTAGCTACACAGAGAAAATTGGAGGACCCAAAAAGCAGACAGTAAAATACGCAAAAGAATTTTTGTATTACGTGCGCGTGCCTGCATATATTTATAAAGTTGTTTACTCTTTGACCAGATGTATGCGACTGAAAATCGGCATAGAAACGGTCGCTTTGATATCTTAATTTTCATTTTTTACTGTGTTAGTGGCACAGAAGAACACACAGTGCAAAGTGATTTCAGGGAGTATAAATTTAATTATTATTGATAAGGTACATTGATTGTATGAATTTGCTTGATATTTTTGAATGAATTGCAGGTTATGCAAGAAGTATGTAAAAAAAGAAAGTAGAAAATATTTTGTCTTTCAGTGTGTTAGGTGGATGATAATGTTGTTTAAAGTGCACAAGTAGGAAGCGTTATTAGTTTAGGGAGAAGACTTTACGTAGAAAGATTGTCGAAGGACAAAAGTAAAGCATTTTCTTTTTATAGATTTTTGTGAATTCTATGCATGTTATCTATAACAGATTTTTATTAAAACGTTTGTAATTTAAGTTTTTGAAAATGAAATTTAGAATTTTGATATATTTAATTAATTAATTCTTTCTTGATAGATTCAGTTTTGTGTTTCTAAATATCTAATAATTATTATATGTAACTAACTACTTGTATTTACAGCATTTTTTTTTTTAATATTTAATATTGTATTAGCTAAGCATTTGGGATAGGTTATGATATATAACTGTTTGCAATAGCTTTTGATTTTTATATATATTTATATGTATGTATATAATTTATTTTCTGTAGGAACATAGGATGAAAAGAATAAAATGTGAGATTATAATAAGTTAATTAATTATTCTTAACTGTTTTTAATGTATTTCAGTTGTTTGTAAAGAACTTTTAATGCGAAAGAATTTAATTAACGTATTTATTTTTTAAAATATGCGAATAGCCTGTTATTTGAATATTACAGCAACGAATATTATATTTTAATGTTTTATGTTGGCCATGTTAAAATCAGTTTTGAACAACTGTATAGTATGGAAAAGTTCTGAAATTTTAGTGGTGTGATAAAGTATATTGTACTTAATTTGTGTTTGTATATTGTTAATATTGAGGATTTAAAGTTTACTAGTGATTATATTTTATGTAATTAATGTTAATATTATAGTTTGTTTAGGATTATAGTTTTTAAGGTAAGTCGAAATTTTATATATATAAATATGTATTAATGACAGTTGTTGTTAGTAATTTTACATTATACTGTGATAAATTTCAGTAGTTTACTGAGAATTGTTTTTTTATTAATGTTAAGCTCGTATTTGTGATGAGTTATCTGACTGGTATTGTGTATATTTTAAAAATATATGGAAGCATTTTAAGAATATATTTTATGTAAGTATTTGTTTGTTATGTATATAGTTTATATTTTATTATGTATTTAATTTTTTGTTTATTTTTATTTATAATGTTAGTTTTGTTTTTGTTTTTGGTTTTTGCTTCATGTGTTTAGTGAATATATTTTTGTATTTTTAATAGTATGATTTCATATTATTTTTGCTGAGTTTTTTGTTTTAAAATTGTTTTAAGTATCCTAATAGTAAGTTTATAGTTGTTATTTTGCATTTAAATGCTAATTTTGTTCAGTTTTCTTTAATATTGTTGTGAATGTTGTATCTTTGATGGTAGATGTTTCATTTAAATAATAGGTTTTTGTTTTGTTTGAGTTATGGCAATGCAACACTTGGGTGATTTGCCTAGGGAGGTTTTTTCAGCAGGTTTTTTAAGGGAATGTGGATTCTATTTAGGTATTATAGATCTGGATAAAATTCAGAAAACTGTGTGTTTAAGGTGCAAACTTTCAATTGAACTCTCGGTGTTTAGGGAAGGAAAACTGGTTGGTTACTGGTGGCCCAATTTAAATAATAACAGAAATTATTTATATTGAATGTTTAAAAGTATTTTTTGTTAGGAATTGTTAGAAAACATTGTAGCAGATTTTAAGATACTGTTTGTTTAATACAATAGTAAATTGCTGCTGTTAATGTTAAAATTTACAAGTTCACTAAGTGTGAAATTAAGTTTAGAGAAAGTTTGTTAATGCAGCATCATTAGAGCTGTTTCAGTTTTGAATTATTAATGTTTTTAATTTATTGGACAGTGGAAAGTTTGTGTTTTTGATATTTTGGACAGAAGTTTGGATATCTTTGCATGTAAAATTAAACAACTATGTTTACAATTATTTAATGTCGCATTTAATCTTTTTCTTGCTATTTTTACCTTTGATTTGCTTGAAGCCAAAACACTTGATTCCTAGTTTGTGCTTTGTTCAGTTTTATCGCATAGATAATTATTGTATATCTGAATTTATAAGTGTAAGAGCAATTATGTATTATAGCTTTTTTTATATTAATTATTGATTCAGAGTGTTCTAATTATTTTTCTTTTTGTATTATATTTATGCACTGATGTTTGGGACTAATTATGTTAGAATAATTATGCATGAGCTAACTGGTTTTACCTAGCACATCAAATTGTTTTGATTTTTCTGTCCATGATGTTTATATTAGAAGTGATTGATAATGATGGTAAAGAACAATGTACTATTAACTACCCCAGTGACGAGCTTCACATGCCAACTTAACAGGTTTGCCAGCATACTGAATGTCAGATTAATGGAATTTCACTTAGAAAGAAAAATCCTTATGAAATTTTTTATCAAACCTGATTATTACAAAAGCAAACAGTTTGTTTTTATCACCTTTCATGAAGTTTCATTGATATTTTTAAGATACAAATTAAAAGTTAATAAACTAAATGCTTATTAAAACTCCTAAGAAGAATTTATAACTGAAATTAAATTTAACCTGAAATTTGGAGTTAAATTTTGGATTCACTATTGATCCTCTTTGGAGAAGTATTTGCCATCATTGATGTATATGTGATTATTCTAACTATATGTGAAAAATTCTATTGGGTGATTCTTTAAGTAATTTGAACTATGAAAGTGTTATGCTATGAACATATGTTAAAAATGGTATAGTTTTAAACTTACAGGATGTTTAATGTATGGGCCCCATTGAGAATGTTTACTTAATTTGACACAATGCAATTTTATAATATTTTGCAGGAGACAACATTCTCTTATTTGTGGATGTGTTGGATACATTAGATCAAAAGTGGCCAAATTTTTTACATTTGTGTCAATAAATAAGCACAAATTTTTTGTGGGCCACTATCCTATTACTCTTTTAAATCTGATTTAAATTTGTAGTTAAAGATACACTAAATAACATTAAAGTATGTTGTTAGGTGAATGTAAAAACAAATATTAATTAAATAAGCAACTAGAGTTAGTTTGAAAGTGACAAAATATTAAAACCATTTCTTATTGAAAGGAGAACAAAAAAACTTGAAATTCTAATTAAAAAAACAAAGAATCAAAATTTAAAATTCACTTAATGTTAAGTTTCTCAATATTAGGATATATTTTTGACGTTGATAACAGAGCAGATTGCTCACGAGTGTTTGTCAATACAGATCGGTACTTATTTTTAACAAAGCTCATTGCTGAAAATGTCTGCTCAGAAATGTAGGTAAAACCAATCTGCATGCAGAACTCAGGGCAAGATCATGCATTTCTGGGTAGTCAATTTTGGGAACAAATTTCCAGAAGGCTTTGAAATCAGGAAAAGTCAGTGTTTCATATAACTTTGAAATTTTGCTATCAGTCCTGAGTGATTTTTAATACCTACAATTTCCATTTGAGTTTTGGGTGGATGTTTGCCTACTTTGCTCTTCAAAATGGAGAATGGCTTGATGAAGAAAGAGTGAGATCATTCCTTTCAGCTTCGAAGTCTTCAAAACATCAAACGACTCAATTAATGTTGTAATGGCAGAAATGATACCCATTAAAGTCCAAATTCAAATTATCACTCTCATTTTGAAAACTTTTTACAGTGGAAAAATGGTCAAGATTTTTCTGAGACAATTTGCTTGAAAACAATTCGTCTTTCCTTGAATGAACTAATTAGGTTGAATTTTGTTGGAAATAAGCAATTTTCTCATTGTATACAACTATTAAGTACATAAGATAATTTGTGATGTCTACCTCGTGTGTGTCTGAAGAGTCTTTCCAAATTATATTTCTTTGGCACTGCAACTGTGGCAGAACAGATCAAATATACAGGTTTTGATTACTTTTTTTTGTGTGAAGAGAAATTTTTCTTCCCAATTGTTATTGAAAGCCTGTCACATCATGTTCACGCTGTCGTTCAGATATTCCAGCTTTACTGGGAGCCATTTGTAAGAACTTAATCCTAATTTAAACACGCTTAACAAAAAATTTCAAACTTGAAAAATAAAACACGATCACTGTCAAATCTCAACTGCTGGCAACTGTACATAAAGACTAACACATGATCAGTCAACACATCATCAATACAGCTGACTCAATAGCAGTGTTATCATGTGGTTGATAGCATTTCTTTCAATGCAGCCAAATATTGTTTTGCTCATTTGCATGATAAAAATGTTAGTTCGTGTAATTATAGACAATAACTTTAATTATTAAAGAAGTTATTAAAATACTGTGTTTTCAAAATTTATGCTAATGTTAATTAGTTCTCCCTTGTCATGTTTTTTTTAATTTTAAGGATTTTGTATTGTTTCTTTCCCTTTTTCTTTTTTGTTCCATCACCACGCAGGCCTTGGGTTGGCCACCTCTGCAGTAGATGATAGAACTTTATATTACTGTTGCATTGTTCTTTTTCAACAGTTATTACAACTATACAGTTTTTAACTTTGCATACAAACATATCTTAGAAATATGTGTATGCACTTTTATAGTTGAAATTATTCAAAGAATTAGCCTCTGAAATTTTTCACGTATACTTAGAATCATCCTATATTATACAAACATAAGTTACATCTTTTAAACATACTACACATTTTAAAATGTTAAATCTTTCATTTCCACTTACATTTGTTGTTGTTATAATATCTTAACTTATTTAAATTTTCATTCCTTTTTAGGTTAATAATATATATATATTATGATTATACCTATGTATAAAAACAGATTATCACTGCAATAAGTGTTTAAATGGTGGGTAAATATTTATTAATTTTCAGTTATTTTTTAAAATTAGGGTTGAAGAATTAAAAAAAGTGAGCTGCCTACAAAAGTCTCAAGATTGATTATATACCAACTATGGAATATGCTGTAATACTTCTCTGAAATGTAAGTGGGTGTCAATCACTGTATTAAATTAAACTCATTTGTTCTAATTTTATGTGTTTCTGATTTGCTTGAAAGTCTTTCAACTATAATTACAGAACCAAGAGTGTCGGCACCTTCCCATGGTTATAAATTTAGATCTATAATAGGAATGACCCTGTCTTTACAAAATATTTCAGGTAATAGTTCATTATTTGTTAAAAACCAAATAAATTCATTGGATAAAACTCATTATTTTCTGAACTCTAGGGGTGAAGAAACCTTACTATTCAACTAAATGGGAAATATATTTGAAAATGAAGACAATATGGAGTAGAAGTGGTCTTATTTCTTACTTCTGAGGAAAATTTTGTTACATAAATGTAAATTTCTGGCTTCCATTGTTATATACTGTTTTGAAATGTTCTGTTTGTTACATTTTAAAATATTGAATACCATGCAATATTCACACAATGTATTTTTATAGCATGATAATTGATGAGAAATCAGGTATTTTATTGTCCAAGTTAAGAGAGAAAAGTGTTAAGAACAGAAGGATTTTACTTACTAGAATTTTGAATTACAGAAAGATAATTGTGTAAATAATTGTCAATTTTCTAGTTGCGATAAGATTCAAATGTTAATTTTCTTTTAAGCTGTGTAATTTCACTTCTCGTTTTTGTCTGTAATGTTTTAAATACTGTATTTTTGAAATTAATGTTAATATACTTATTAGATAAATTCTTCATTATGTAGATACAGTTACCTTGAAGTTTTTTTGTATAATCATGTTATACCTGTATACAGTATAACCATTCATATATTATTTTATTCAGTTTATATAAATTCTAATATTTTTAATGGTTTACTAATCTGCATCAGTATTTACAATTGGTAAAGTTAGATACAAAAATGAGGAAAAAAAATTGAAATATTTTAATAAACTTGTAATTAAATTTTTAAATAAACATTATGCAAATAAAATAAATTTTGATGTGGCATTTTCTTTACTGAAGACACTTACAGTGGAGCAAGTTCAGAGTTATTACTTTTCATAAAGAATTTAGATTCAGAATTCAAAGTGATTTTCCACATCTTATATAGAAAGAATTGGAACCTTCTATTGTCCCAATGGCATTTTATGGATCTTTGGTCCTATGGAAAATTTTTAGGAGGGGGCAAACGCTGCTCTTGCACTTCCTGGTGATCGAGTTATGTAACCTTATACCCTCAACCAACATTTTCGCTTTGTCTTTCTGTTTGTATTAATGCAAACAGAAAGACAATGTGTTCTATAATCTACTTGTGAAAAATCCCAAAAAATTTAATAAAAATTTACTAATATAATTATTTGTCTCCAACCTTTGCCCCCACTGCAAAATTTTGGATACTATGGGGCCAACCCTAATACACATTTATTACTAAAAGTTTTTAATAAATTATAAATGAATCTGATATGTTAGTTTCTTTGCAAATTAAATTGTTTCAGCAATGATCAAAAACACTTAATTTCAGATTGTACAGAGCTTTATTTTTTTTCTCCTTTATAAGTGTACTAACAATAGATTATAATTTGTCTATTTTTTAATGTAAACAGATTTTTAAATATAAAGTGCATAAACATAAACAATTTTTTTTAAATTTCAGATGAATTTTCTGTACATTCTTCAAAACATAAAATGATGATTTTTGCCATATTGTACATTTTGCAAATTTTTTTTAACACTCTGCCCTGTGGGCACTAGGAGGGCTTCTTTTTTGCAAGCCCATTATGGGTTCGGTCAGGCCCACAATGGGGCTGCCGGGTGGTGATAGACTGGGCCCGACATATTCGAACAGACCACCCCCGGCTTTGGATTCGAACCCGGGTTCCCCAGAGTGGTGGGCTGCCACCTTGACTGCTCGGCCATTCGGCCGCTTACATTTTGCAATTGGTGTGCATTAATGACCTGCATGCTCCCTGATTTAGGGGCACACAAGTCATTTAGGGAATGAATAAATTGGGTCATGGATGGTATACATATTGTTAGTCTGTTATAGATTTGTAATACCACTTTCAGATTACAACATTTTCTGAATCTGATAGGAATTAACATTACTGTATTGTCAATGTTGTTAATTCTTACTTTGCAGCATAAGGTAGAGTAGCAAATCAATAAAAATTCATTGGGGCCAGTACATCATTATTAAAATGGTGACTTATGATCAGAGAGAATGAATGGACTGATATACATGTCTGAAACAGGATCACTGATTTTCGTGGCAAAAAAATAGATTCGGCCACTCCGCTAAATCCTTTTTGTCCTTAGAAAGTTGTCGCCAGATGTCCGAGCATTGTGAACGTTTGGTGGCCATCAGGTTAGAGCTAGACTTAGAAATTTACTGAGACCCATAACGCCTATACGCGATATTAAAATCGTAAGTCAACAGGTCATAACTTTGTTTTCCTTGTGTCGTGCCATTCTGTAACTGTTAAAGTACATTAAGAGTTATAATTGAGTAAACAATACAGTAGAGCGTCGTTTATCCGAATCAATTGGGGACTGGGGTGGTTCGGATAACCGATTATGTACGAAAAAATATATTAACCTATCCCGTGTTGAAAACTTTCTCCGTTGCGTGTCGCTTCGCGTTGAATTTTCGTCGATGTTAAGCCTAATGTAAACTTTTCAAAATAATAATCGTGACTATTGTGTCGTTAAAAATTATTTCTTTATTTTTTACAAACAAAATAAATATATTGAAAAGTATATCAACAAAAAAAAATTAGACTTTAGAAGTTAATCTAATATCAAAAACGTTCGACTCAACACGACACACAGTCCTCAGAAAAACACCACACAAAAGTGCCAGTGCTACCAGCTAAAACACACACATCAACAAAAAAAATATTGGAGTAGCCCAAGATATAGCCAAAGATTGCAGTGCCACAGCACTAGCGAAAATTTAAATTTGCCAACTGGAATTCTTTCGGATACACGACTCTCTACTGTATATCACACTGAATTAGCGATTATCTCGATAGATTTGCAATTTTCTAGAACAGAACAATATATAAAAAGTTACTTTGTGTGCGTACCGATGGCTATCCTTCAATACAGAACTTGCGCCCGACGTTTTCATCGCGAAAACGTAAACGTCGTACGTTCAGCGCCGCCTTCCTGTAAGCCTAGAAGTTTGATAATGGCGTTTGGAACGTCAGTGGAATCATGCTGGACGTTCCAAACGCCATTGTCAAACTTCTAGGCTTACAGGAAGGTGGCGCTGAACGTCCGACGTTTACGTTTTCGCGATGAAAACGTCGGCCGCAACCTCTGAAGTATTTCTCCAGAAAACTATAGTTTTTTCAAATTATTTAACTGTGCTATCCGAGGATTTTAAACATAGATTTCATGATCTAAGAAAAATAAAAAATATGCTGTTGCTCATTAAAAATCCCTGGCTTTTGGAACCGGCAATAATATCAGAACTGGCTGATATATTGGCATGTAGAGCTGTTTGACGAATTTACTGAGGAACAATACACATCTGAAAGTTATTTTTGAACAAAAGAGAGCTGAAAATAATTACGTTGACTTCTGGTAAATAGTGCCCGAACAATGTAAGGTTAAGGTTAATGCCTTCAACACAGGCATTAAAATCAGCATCACTGTCAACAGGATTTGAGAGGGGCTTAAATTGCTCAGGGATTTTTTCTGTAATTGGTGGCATAGTAGTAGTAGTAGTAGTAGTTGTTTGACACACACTAATCACAAAAATTAATTATTAAAATAAAAATTACAAATAAATTGAATTAATTACATAAGAAATGTGATTGGTTGGTTTTTGATATAAATTAAATTTTAAGATATGTTAGAATTTATTTTAACACGGTTTTATTGTGTTGCTGCGGTAAAGAATTTTTCCTTCGATATTTCCGATAATTTTTCTTTTGTTTTGCGATATTTTAAAGTTAACGGAGAAATATGGAAAGGAGATGAAAAGTTTGTTTTTGTAATTGCTTTAGATAAGCTGAAGGAAAAACTGGAAACACTTAAGTGAACTGTATTAAATAAACAAACTGTATTCATATAATGTAAAAATAGAAAAAAAAATCCAAAAAGTAATTTGAAATTTAGACAAATTTTTATACTCTGAAATAATTCCATTACAAATAATTTTTAAAATAAAAATTTGTCTAATTTACTCAAAAATTAATTTTTGTGATTAGAGTGTATCAAACCACTACTACTCATAGGACACTCAATATCGGCACATATTCCTCCCCCAGTACTCGCTTATTTTACGTCACATCTTTTCTCGCTTTCTGCTTTGTGTCCCGTTAACTAACCTCCGGAAACCAGAGATGAAAACTTCGGTCGCAACTAGGGTTGCCACCTGTCCGGGTTTGACCCGGAGACTCCGGGATTGAGTGAGTTATCTCCGGGATCCGGAGTTAATTAATATTTCTCCGGGTTGTGCAAGTTGAAATGAATATGTACAAAATTATATGCAAACCGTCGCATATATTTCTTCCCCCGTGTACCGAATTACTAGTGTGGTAGCCGTTGACTTAAAGACAGTAGCGTAGCGTAGGGGGGCGGCAGGGGAGTCCTATTGAAATGAGCACAGAATAGTGTTACCATCTGACTCGCCGTCCGGGGATATCGTGCGTAACCTGCCAACCTTTTTTTTTTTTTTTTGCTTGTACTGTTCATTCTTAATCATATACACCTTCAATATCCAATAGAGCTAGGTCACTTGCGTTACTCCAATCCAAGTTTCCCTAGTCGCTAACTGTAACCGATTTAGAACCAGCATGCACTGCAAATTATTCTTCGCATTGCAAAATGATATACGCATGCGTCAGGAACTTCTGTTCGAACAAACCTCACTTGCCGTCCGGGTCAGCGATTTTAAAAAGGTGGCAACCCTAGTCGCAACCTCACTTTATTAGCGAGGTTGCGACCGAAGTTTTCATCTCTGAAACGTGAACGTCGAACGTCGAGCGCTGCTTATAAGATAGCGGAGCTCGACGTTCACGTTTTTGAGATGAAAACTTCGGCCGCAATGTCCCTATTAAATTCGTCGGTTAGAATTTGCCAAGTCTCATTTTTTTCCCTTTTAATATAGGGCATTCGTTTCTTTTGATTCTATTATACCTTTATACTTTTCGACTAATTAAATATTCTGTTTCCCGATGATAAAAATCGGGTTGTCGACTTCTTTTCTTACTGTCTGCCATATTTGTATCTAAGCGCGTTTTACGTCTTTCCGAAATATCCAATCGAGTAACGTGTAAGAAAATTTTCTATCAACGCTAGTGTATTATTGGATTCACTAATCCTGTTCTTAGTATTTCGGGATTTAGTAATCCTTCGCTAAAATTTGTCGGTTGAATTCTCACGTCAGTAGTCTTGGTATTAGTCTAATCGCTGGATTTACAAATACCACGATTAGGCAATGTTGATAAAACACCCAGTAATTAGTCATGTTATAAATACAGACTTGAGAACGTCAAATATAATTATTAATATACGTTATCTAGTAAAACTTCAAGCCATTTTTGTAGGAACGCCATTAACTTTAAAGACGTAAAAGACCAATCGTCCTTTGACCTCAATATTTCGCTTTACTAAGTTATGAAAAGTGAACTTTGACCCATTTTTATTTTTTAATAGCTAATTTGATATAAAATGAGGTCATTGTCGGCATTTTTTTCTCCTATTTATTATCAGCGAAAACTGCTGTTTGTGTATATACTGTGTATATTTTGGAACGCAATATTTAAAAACATCGTTTATTGAATAACTGTGATAATTTTATCAGCAAAAATTGCAAATAAGTTTACCGTCATCCATAATTATATTTACATTAATTAAGTTTATTTGGTTAAGATAGTGCCAAGGCCATTCTAGATAGCTATTGTACTGCCCTTTTAACGTCGGTTTGACGTCATTCTTTAGTGTTTCTCACTTTAAAGTCGAGGAAACGTTAGATTATCGCAAAAATGTACACTATCTTAACCAATTGAAACAAATCCATTATTGAGAACTAGCAAGTGGGCCCGGCGTTGCTCGGGCAAAAGTAACGATAACTAAGATAAAGATTATTACGTTACAGTCAATTTTACCCGTTTTCACAGAATGCAAGAATTGGGTCCCCTTAGAGAATTTTTAGATGGGTCTAAAAATATGTTCGATTTCCCGCAAAAACGAAAAAACTGCATCTGCGTATCGCACGTCGCTTTCTCTTAACAATTCCATTGTTACGTAAGATTTCCATTGTTGACACTTCCATTGTTACTTAAAACTTTTATTGTTACTTAAAACTTCCATTGTTACTTAACACTTCCATTGTTACTTAGCACTTCCATTGTTACCTAACACCGCCATTGTTACTTAACACTTCCATTGTTGATGGAAGTGTTAAGCCTTAATCCTGTCTTTCTCCCCCCGGGAGGAATTTCGAAAAATCCCTTCTTAGTGTGCGTTTTCGTGACGTACCCTAACTGTGTACCAAATTTCAGCTTCCAACTCCTA